CGCCGGGCCGCGGAGCACAAAGGATGGGGCGGGCCGTTCGGGATGCTGGGGCGGCCCTGGCGAGTGAGAGGCCACCGGTGTGCGCCCCGCGGGACTGCAGCGGTTTCCGGCAGAGCCCCCTCTTCTGGCCTTGCAGCCTCTGGCCGTCTTTCGGGCATTGTTTCCTTGTATCTCTGAGGAGTTGGGCCTTCAGAACGGTCCCACCTCCTTTTTCACCCATGAGTCAAGCCCTGGGGACTGAGTAGGTCACTTGGGTGGGAGGCATAGCGCTGTTGCTAGGAAGTGTGGGGGGTCGGGAAAGGGGGTGTCGAGGCCCAGCGAGGAATCCGCAATGCTGGGGCCCAAAGGAACTGCCCTAAAAAGTCGTCCAGCCTACTCAGGTGCCATTCGACCTGGGAGACCCAGGACCCCAGAAGGGACCTGCCGGGATCCCATTCCTATCGTTTGGTTCCTCCACTAATGGCTACTCTCTGAAGGTGGGCCAACCCACCAAGCTAAGGTGTGCTACTGAGGAACCACTTCCTCCTGGGGACAGTACCCCCTTTTTATTAGCTGAGGAAAGGCCCGAGGCAGAGGCGAGGAACTGGTGAGGCGCTCATACTTTGGAATTAGACAGTCTTGGGTTTGACCACAGGTCTCAACTAGTCGTGACCTCAGGTAGATGACTTCACCTGTCTGTGCTGGTGCTGTTACCCATAAAATGAGCTTTCTTGAGAAGACCTGGATTAATGAAGGAGGAAGGGTGTGAGTGAGTGAAGTGTGGGCTCGCAGGAAGTTATCATCCGTCCCCGGGAGACCTGCCTAGTCTGCTGGGAAGTGACACTGGAGAGCAGGGCAGACAGCGTGTTAGAACAGGAAGCGTACGCCTGGGGGTGGGCATGTAATCCTTCTACCCCCTTACTTTAAAGATGAGCAGACGAAGGCCCAGGGAGGGAAGGGACTGGCTGAGATCACACAGGTGGCTTCGGATGTTGTGCCAGAGCCACGCCTTTGCCCCCGCTGCCTGGTGTGGAGAGAGCCAGGGCCCGTGATGATTCTTCTTGGCTTCTTCCTGCTTTCAGGTGTGAACTGTCTTGCCTATGATGAGGCCATCATGGCTCAGCAGGACCGAATTCAGCAAGAGGTGAGGGGCTATGGCCAGCAGCCTGTTGTGGGCTGCATGGCTGGGCTTGAGGCCTAGTGCTTATCTCCACTTTGGAAGCCCCTTCTCTCCCAGCTGTGCTAGGCACTGGATGTCTTTATGTGGACCCTGGGTTACTGTCCCAGCACCCCTCGTTTGGGCATCCTGGCTGTTGTGTGGGTCGCTCTGTCCACCTGCCAGAGCATAACGGCTTTCCTGTTCCTGCAGATCGCTGTGCAGAATCCTCTGGTCTCGGAGCGGCTGGAGCTCTCGGTCCTGTACAAGGAGTATGCTGAGGACGACAACATCTATCAACAGAAGATCAAGGTGAGAGCCGCGTGGAGGAGCCAGTGGTGGCTACAGATAGCGGCTTGCCCAGGAGTTGGGGGCAGGGAGCCCTCGGGCTGCAGGTTGCGCACATGCAGACTAGATCAGACTGGACTCATGTCCTGCCTCTGTTCCTAGGCTGCTGGCCCCTGGGCTGCAGCGTGTCCAGCCTCGGGTCCTTGCCTGTGCGGCCTGGAGGCTGCATGGGAGCTGATGGTCTCAGTGCTCTAGTGGGGCTGAGGGGCCTGGCTTGTCTCGGGGTCTGGAGAGGCTGGCAGCAGTGGGGAACAAAGGGTCTGCACAGACTTTTGTGCAAGACCTTGTGGTGTTGCTTACAAACTGAGGGACCCTCCCTTTTATCTCTGTGGGCCCTGAGCTGTCTGTGGGGTTGTGGAACAGTACCCAGCCGGCACTGCCAAGGTGGCAGGCCTGTGGATACTTGGGCCCAGGTGGCAGATCCGGTTATCTGGGCAGACTCAGCTTCTCCATGGAGCACACCTGGGAGGACAATTAGGAGGTGGGCGTCGCCGACACATGGGACCCAGCCCAGCGCCGGTGAGCAGGACGCTGTTGCGTGGGTGGAGGGGTGGACACCACCCTTGGGAAAGCAGGCAGTTCGTAGTGGAGGACAGACAGGAAGCAAAGGGGGGCTGAGATGCCTGTGTGAGGGGAAGTCAGTGCTGTGGAGAAAGGAAAGCTAGAAGAGGAGAGTGGGCGTGGGCGGCCACGGAGGAGCAAACTGCATGAAGCAGGGGCAGGACGGTGTGACTAGAGCAGAAGCGGCTCTGCGAGATGCCTGGGCTGGTGGCCAGAGCAGGGCTGCGGAGGGAGATGAGTGTTTAGCAGGTTCCTCTGGCTCCCTGGGGCTTGGGGGGCCCGTGAGGAGCTTGTGCCGCAAACCCACAGTTGGTGGCAGCGGCAGCGGCGCTGGGTTCTGGGTGTGCGGAGAGGGATTGGGGCTCTGCCGCGGGCTAGGTGGTCTGGGAGGGAGGGGACGTGGCAGGGCCCACTGGTGGCAGTGGCTGTGGGCCAGGCTGAGTGGAGGGCTGAGATGTGGGCAGTGTTCCCTTCGGCTAAACCCCATGCCGATGACTTCACAGCAAGGGGGGTCCCAGCAGCAGCTGTCCCAGGCTGTGCCGCTGCTGGGCACGTGCGTGGGTTGTGCGTCCTGAGCGGCTCCTGGCGGGAGACAGTGTCTTGCCTAAAGGACTGGCTTGGCGGGCCCTGACCTTCCCAGGCGTGCGGTGAGTGCGGCTGCGCCGTGGGAGGAAAAGCAGGACAGGGTAGGCCTGGCCCAGCCCCTGGAGGGAAGGTGTGGACGGGAAGACCCGTCTGGGCAGAGCCTCTGACCCTCGTGGCCATGAGTAAGCCTGCCAGAGTTGAGCTCTAGGAGAACAGGGAGGCAGGGCCCGTGGAGACCGTCACGGGCACTCTTGCTGCGAGGGGGAGAGGGTGCTGGCTGGAGAGGAATTTGGGCGAAGCGAACGACTTTGAAGTGGGAAACGCCTTGTTTCTGTGCTGATGGGCCCGAACCTGTAGGGAGTGAGGCACTGATGATGCAGGGAGAGCGGAGACTTCCCTGAACCACGCCCTTGAGCCAGGACGGCGCAGGTGCGGGGCAGGGAGGTGGGCTGAGGTGCTCAGAAAGGAGGCCAGGCCACTGCACGGAGCCAGGGCATGGGCCCCCTGGGCCCGGCGGGGGAAGAGGGAAAGGCGCTGAGCCTGGAGCGGGGCAGAGGCCTGCCTCAGCACTGAGGGCCCCTAGTGTGGGAAAGTGCCGCTGGAAGGTTTCCTCCCCGTTGGGTCTGGGGAAGGCAGGATGCAGGGGGTGGCGGTGACAGCTGAGTGGACGGAGCGAGTTGGAGGGGTTCTGCCCTGAGCTGTGCAGTGGGGTCCTCAACTTGGCCGCCGTTTGAAGCCCCGGCCCAGTTCCCTACCCTGACTTGTCTGCTCCAGAGCTGTCAGCTTGAAAGACTGTCCCCTGGAAAAGCTGTGCTGGCCAGGGACCGGTTCTGGGCCACTGCTCATGAGCCAGCAGCCCTGCAGGCCCAGCACTGGTGGACTGGACAGTGGCCTTTGACTCTCAGGTGACCCAGGCCACAGGGTGACTACAAGTAATCTCCCAGCGTTTGGGGGGCTCTGGGCAGTGGGTCACTGAGTGACCATCCCCTGGCCAGCAGCCAGGATGACAGGAGACTGTTGGGTACTCAGCTGCCACCCTGTGTTGTGACCTTTGGGGGGGTTCCTTGACCACCCTGCCTCTGGCCTGGTATTGATAGGCTTGGGGTGGGGCCTGGGCCTCTCCGCAGGACCTCCACAAAAAGTACTCGTACATCCGCAAGACCAGGCCTGATGGGAACTGCTTCTATCGAGCCTTTGGCTTCTCCCACTTGGAGGCGCTGCTGGACGACAGCAAGGAATTGCAGCGGTGAGGAGGGTGGGCGCGTGGGGTCCTGGGCCCGCGCGGGGGTGGGCAGGGCCCCTCAGCGCTACCTGCACACCATCTGAGGTGAGGCTGGGGCTGGGCTCCTGCTGGCCCTTTCGCCCTGAGCTGGCGTGGGGGCTGGCCTTGGGCGCTGGCTGCCAGCCGGGAGCCCATGCTGCCTGCCTTTCCTCCGTGTGCAGGTTCAAGGCTGTATCTGCCAAGAGCAAAGAGGACCTGGTGTCCCAGGGCTTCACTGAGTTCACAATCGAGGACTTCCACAACACGGTGAGCGCCGTGCCTGCCGCTGCTTGCCGAGGTCCAGGGGTTCTCTGGCCGCGTGGGCGTCACCCCTCCCTCTCTCATCTTGTCCTCTGTTGCTTGTGGGCGCAGTTCATGGACCTGATCGAGCAGGTGGAGAAGCAGAGCTCGGTGGCCGACCTGCTGGCCGCCTTCAACGAGCAGAGCACCTCCGACTACCTGGTGGTCTACCTGCGGTTGCTCACGTCTGGCTACCTGCAGCGCGAGAGCAAGTTCTTCGAGCACTTCATCGAGGGGGGGCGGACGGTGAAGGAGTTCTGCCAGCAGGTGCCCCCCTTTTCCTCTCGCCGTGTGGGAGCCCGGGCCGGGCGTGCGCGGGGCCCCGGGCAGGGGAGGGCGGGCGCTGACGCTCCTGTGCTGCAGGAGGTGGAGCCCATGTGCAAGGAGAGCGACCACATCCACATCATCGCGCTGGCCCAGGCCCTCAACGTCTCCATCCAGGTGGAGTACATGGACCGCGGCGAGGGCGGCACCACCAACCCGCACGTCTTCCCCGAGGGCTCCGAGCCCAAGGTGTACCTCCTCTACCGGCCCGGACACTACGACATCCTCTACAAGTAGGGCCGCCCGCCCCGCCGCCAGGCGCTGGACATGTACAGAGGTTTTTTGTGGTTGTAAATGGTCATATTTCACTGCCCCTCCCTGTCACACCTCCACGTTCTATTAAAGGGGATGCTGGTGTGAGCGCGTGTGCGTGTCCCTGCTCTGCTGCTGCCCGCCTGGCTGCTCCGTGCCTGGCCGCCCCTTCCCTCCCAGCTGGGCTCCTCTGGGCCTTCTGCTGTCCACCGACCTCCCCCCTGGGAAGTTTGGGAGGAGCCCAGCCTCTGGGAGCCCTCCTGCTGCCACCCCCTTCTCCCCAGCTGGCCCAGAGGCTTCCATGGGAACTTGGACGTTCCCCGAGGACTTGCCCAGGGACCTGGACCACCAGGTTTACAGCTGCTCCCTCCAGGCCCTGCCTCCACCCTGCTGTCCTGGCCAGGGCCCCCCGCCCGCCTTCTGCCTTCCATCAGGGGTCCCCCTGGGTAGGGAGGGCCTACGTAATGGTCAGGACCCGTAGGGAAGCTGGGGTGTCCCCAGTGCATACTCAGGTGCCACAGCCTGGTGGGGAGGGGTGGCCATCACGCCCATGTCCAGCTCTAGGCAGGGCTCGCCAGCCCCCTTTCCTCCTGTACCACCCCAAGCCCTCTGCCTGTGCCTGCTTTGCACCCCTTTGCTTGGGGCATGGGGTCTGTGTTGCCTTCACCTCTTTTCCTCCCTCAGCACATGTGGGGTCTTGGTCCCCAGGCTGTGAGCTCCTTGGGGGCAGGCCCTCAATAAATGTGAAGTGCTGCCCACCTCTGCCGTCTGGGCCTGTGCCTCCACCCGCCTGGCTCACCTGAAGCTGTGCCCTCCTCTGGGTGCCTCCCGTGCCCCCAGCCAGGGCTTGGACACCAGGCACTGCAACAAAGATGATCTTTATTAGGAGGCTCCTGAGGGCCTGGGGCCATGGAAGGAAGGGGGTGGCCCGGCTAGGCTGCAGGCTTCGGGACCTTTAGAGCTGCGAGCGAGGTCCGGCAGGCCCAGGCGAATCTGAAGGCAGGGCGAAGAGGTGGGAGGGGACGGGCTGTGGGCTTCCACCAAACCCCAGCCGTGGCCCTGGCCTCCCGGGGTGGGGAAGAGCACTGCGCGAGGGCGAACGGGTGTGTGAGGGGCAGGTTAGTGGGCAGCCACACGGCGGGCCAGGCCCTGCTTACCAGTCCTGGTCAGGGTGGCGGTGGGGTGCCGTCAGGCTGGAAGGCAGAGGACAGTGAGAGCCTGCCGGGGTGTGGCGGGGCAGGCCGGGGGCAGGGGCAGGGCTGGCAGTGCGGCCTCCGGTACCTACCCATAGGGAAGTAGCGGGGCAGGTGCTGCAGGTAGATGCCCTCATCCTTCTCCAGGAACACGCAGATGACCAGCCGATCCACCTGCACCAGGGCCTGCTCAGCTTGGGTGTGGCCCCTGGGCCGAGGCCCTGCCACAGGATTTCCCCTGCTTTGCCCTTGGGGCACCCACTGACACAGTCCAGCAGGCCACAGGCCTGGTGTCCTGGGTGCAGGAAAGGAAACGCCCAGGGGAGCAGAGCTGGCTCTCTGGCTGGGCCCAGGCCTCACCTTGTCCTTATGCTGCTCCAGCCACTCACGCAGCGTGGCCAGCACCACCTCTGCTGCTGCCTCGTTGGGGTACCCTGGAGGCGGGAGGGGCGGGAGTTAGGGTGGAAGGTGACCCATGCCCCCCCCCCCTCCTGCTCTCAGCATCCCGCCCTGGCCCTCCCCGCCTCCAGGCCCACTTACCAAACACTCCGGTGGAGATGCAGGGGAAGGCCTGGGGCAGGGGACAAAGAGGACACGGGTGTGGGGGACAGAATCGCTCTCCGCTTGGCCCCCTGCCCCTTAGAAGGGTCCCGCCTCCCTGTCAAGTCCCTGCCCAGCCCCCTCACCACTGAGCGGAGCCGGTACTCCAGCAGCAGGTCAAGGCTGCTCAGGTAACAGCTGCGGAGCTCGGCGGCCTGGCTGGCGCTCGGCTCCCCGTGGGCGATGGGCCCCACCGTGTGGATGACATCTGTGGGGGCGACATGTCTGGGCTCCCCGCCTCGGGCCCCCATCTGGGCCCCGGAGGCGCTGGGAACAGGCCCTTTCTCCCTCCTACCCCAGGCCAGAGGACCCTACCCATGTGGCACGCAGGCGTGCCTCACGCTTACATCCACTCGTGGACACCAGCAGCCCTGCGCTGCGCACCCCCACATCTACACGGGTCTGGCTGAGGCCAGCACGCAAGTGGGCTCGCCCGGGTGCGTGAGGGAAGGCTGGTCCCTTAGGTCCAGCCCCTTACAGGCTCCCACCTCCCCCACCCCACGTCTCCACCCTCCAGCGCCCACCCGTGTGCGGATGGACCTCTTAAACGCCAGCGACTCTGAGACAACACTCCTAGTTTCCCACATTACACCGGGCACCCTGCGCGCCAACAGGGTGGGGTGCGGGAACTCACACTTGGCGGGCAGCCGGTAGCCGCCAGTGATCTTGGCCTTGCCGGTCTCGCAGCTCTGCAGGGTGCGGCACTCGTCAGTGAGCAGGGGTCCTGCAGCCCGGTGAATGCAGCCGTCCACTGCGGGGAAGAGGGCAGGGAGCAGCAGGGCTCCGAGTCACGACTGAAGCTCCCGGGTGCACAGTCCCCTCGGCTGTGCCTCGACTCCCCAGGCCCGGCGCCTGTGAGCGCCGCTTTGCCGGACCTGGGGAAACCCAGGCTCGGGGAAGGGGCGCCGAGGCCCGGTGGGAAGCGGTACGGGCGGCCGGCAGGGGGCGCGCCAGGCCCGTCGGCTCTTCGCGGGCCTCCGCCCGGCGCTGGTGGTGCCGCAGACCCAGCCCGCGAGGAGTCAGTTCACCTGCCGGGTTCAGGCCCTGTGCGCCCGCGACAGGTGCTCTCAGGTGCTGGGGCGCCGAGCAGCGGCGCGCACACCGGCCCGAGCCCAGGCCCCGACCTCACGGCGGCGGCCAGCGCCGCACCCACTCCACAGCCGAGGAAACCGGAGTCGCGAGTTACCGACTCAGAGTGGCCGCTCGGTCAGGCCTAGGGCCAGGGCCTCCCGCCGCCTTCCCTGCGTCAGGCGGGCGCGGGCGCGGGGGCGGGGGGCGGCGGCCGGGCCCCGCAGGTGTCTCGGGTGCGCTCCAGCTCATTAGCCAGCACCGAGCGCGCCTCGTTAGCGCATCCGGCTTAATTGGGCCGGGCCTGGGCTTGTTTTTCCGAGGGTGGCTCCGGGCTGCCAGCTACCCTGGGGACCCGGGCCCAGGTAAACAACTCGGCGCGGGGAGGCGCGGGGAGACACCGCTCCGCGCTCCCGTGGCTCGGGTGGCCTGTGCGCCCCGCGGGAGACGCAGGGGTGGCCGGCTGGGTCCCTGCAGGCGGAGCTCAAGCCTGGGCGGCGCGCCCCTCATCCACGCCTACCCGGGCCAGACGCTTCCCAGCTCAGGGGAGGGGCCTCCACCCTCCTGGGGAGGTGTCACCTTGGCCATCATGGTATGTGCCCTCTCGCTGGTGACACCCCCACTCTGTGCCAGGAGCTCCTCAGCTGCCCAGGGGCTCGCAATGCTTAGCAGCAGAAAACCGGGCCATTTCCCCATTTCATAGATGCACAAACAGAGGCCCTTCCTCCTTCATCCCAGCCCCACCCCCAGCACCTTGGCACTGGTCCAGAGATGCCAGCTGGACCATCCCTTTTTCTTCTGTTTTCTTTTGTGCCCGGTGGGGCCCAATTAAACATCATTTTGCGACTTCGTTCACAGCTGGCACCGGGCGATTTCCCAGAGAACCGCGAGGGTGGGCGAGGGTTGAAGAGAACCAGGGTGGGAGAGTTGGGGGGCCTTGGCAGGGGCTCCGAGGCTAGGCCTCGCCGCCTCCTCTCCAGCACAGGGAGGAGGGCAGCTACCCCCTGGGAGGAGCGAGAGAACTGGCCATGCTGTGACCCGGCAACGTGCTCAGGTCAGGGGGCCTGGTGACCACCCAGCTCGGGGCGCAAAGGCAGGAGCTGCGGAGCTGGGCAGCTGGATTCAATCTGCAGTCCCACATGTGACCCAGGCGCGTCACTTAACCTCTAGCTCTTAACTGCCTCACCGTGAGGTGGGGTTACAGCGGTTCCCACTTGCTAGGGCCTTTGGGACTCAGTTTCTTCGTGGCGCGGAGGCCAGGGCTGGGTGGCTCTGGATGTGTTGGAGTGCAGAGCCCGCACTCTGGGCCTCCCTGCCCAACCCCAGGGGTCTCGGCGCTTGGCCCTGGCTGCTGGCCACTCCCGCTGCCGTGGCCCTGCAGGGACCTTGGCTGGCGTGGGCCATGCGGAAGCAGAGCACCGTGAATTCTGCGTTCCAGGGACTTAATATATCCTGCACAAGCGGACAGGCCTGCAGCCAAGCCTTTGGGGTTGACCTGGGGGCACTGGCGTGGGGAAGAGGCAGGGCCCGGCCCTAGCAAAGGCTCTAGGCTGGATCTTTCCCCACTATTCAGAATAGGTCGGGGGCGGGGGGGACAGTGGCCGCTCTGGGGGTTACTCAGGGGAGCATTTTCTCTGAAGCAGAGATGAGGGGTGTGTGTGTGGGTCCTGACTGCCACCCCCACCTCCACAAGCCAAAGCACAGATTGGCCCTGCTGTTGGGGTGTCAGCAGCCTGGTCCCCTACTGCCTGCCACACCCCTCCCCCCACACCAGCCTTGTTACTCTTTCACCCAACCCTCAACCCTGCTGTCCGCTAGCCAGAGCCCCAGAAGGCCACCCCCTGCCCCAGTCTCCCCACTTGACCCCTCGGCTCTTACCTTGCGCTCAGCTGAGCCCTGGAGACTCAAAGGCTTCCCGGGTTCCATCCTGGGTGATATCCCTGCCTGCCCCGCCCTCCTGACACTGGGGTAGCTGGTCCCAGGGTGGCCTGGTTCCCCAGTTTGTAGCCTGGGTCCCTGTACCCATCTCCAAACAAACCTAAACTTCCTACCACTGTTTCCCTCTACCCACATCAGCAGAAAACCTGGGTCTGTCCAGGGGAGACAACCCACGGGAGTGGCGGGACGCCACGCCCACTCTTTACCTTTAAGTGCCTCCACCTGGCTCCTCACCTCAGCCTCAATCCCCCCTTATAGCGCACCTTGCCAGGCCCCAGCTGGTCCAGCCCCCACAGCCCATGGAGAGGCTCTTTATCTTTTCTGTCTCAGAGAAGAGATGGAGGACAGAGAGGGTGAGAGACTTGGCTGAGGTCAGGCAGCTGCTAGGTTGGGTTCCCAGGCTCCACCCTCCACTCCTAGTACCTCAAAGGGCCTGTCTCTCCCTTCCCACCCTGGGCCTCCTCCTCCTTGTGCTCCCCTGGCCCCTCCCCACATCAGCACAGCCCTCCCAACAGAGGGCTGGGGGCCTCTGGCTGTCAAGGGGTCTGAGGCTGCCTTCCTGCTTGGCAACCCCGAGCCCACAGGGCTGGCCACTACCTCTGTCCCTCAAGGCCGCCTGGAAGCCCCTTCTCTGTAGACCTCTCTGGTCTCTCCCTGAGCTACTCGGAAGCTGCTGTCTGGACCCCTGCATGCCCCCCACGGCCTCTGCTTTCAGCCTTGAGCCAGGGCGATGGCTTCCTCCAATAAGTCCAGTCTTCCCTGCTTGGGGCTGCCCTGGGCCAAGGTGACCCTCCCGCCCCACCCCCAGCCTCCCGCTTTCCCTCAGCAGGTCTGGCTCAGGGTGGGCCAGGAGAGGGCAGCAGCCGGGCAGGCCCTGGGCAGGGCAGGCAGGGGTGGAAGGCGGCCTGCTCCTGGGGGGCCATTGCCCAGGCGCTGAGGCTGTGTTGGCCACTATTTAAGGTGCTGTAATATTCATGAAGGGAAGATTAGATATTTAAATTTATTCAGCAATAAATGCGTCTCAGTGGGGGAGCATTCCTCATGCTAAACAAACAAGCGAGCAGGGCTGATTAATTATTTACAGGAACATCCAGGAGGCCTGTGGCCTGGTGGGTAGGGGGCAGGGTGTCCCTGCTCAGGTTAGGAGACCCCCACCTGCCTGCCCCGCCCCCCCGCCTCCCCACTGTCCTGTGCGTCTGGCTCTCCAGGGATTTCTCTTTCTGAAAACATCCCCCCAGTAGTATGCTGGTGACTGGGCAAGTTGCTGAACCTCTCTGAGTCTGAGGTGGGAGGACTGAGACAGGGGGACTGAAGGCTGCCGGCTGCAGGCACCTCTCACTAGGTGAACAGAAGCAGAGAGCTGCCTGCCAGTCCCAGCTCATAGGGTGAGGGGGCGCTGCCTGGCCCAGAGCAGGGAGAGGGCAGGACAGGGCTGAGCAAGTTGGGGTGCTGAGTGTCCTTGGAGTACCCGGCCCCCACACCTTGAGAGGCCCCTTGTTCTCTGGGAGACCCAAATACCCTGCACTTTCTCACACCACCCCCCCTTTTGCAGGTGGGGAGACAGATGGGGTTCAACCACAGGACCCCTCGTACCCCTGCCTTTCCCGAGGCCCAGAGGCACCGCCTGCTAGAGGTGTCCCAGAGGGTGGGCCCGAGGGCCTGGGTGCCCTCTGAGCCTGTCCCTCCCTGTCTGCTCAGCCTCTGGGCCCTGGAGCTGAAGAAAGCCAGCCCCTGCACAGGCACCCAATGCCAGGATGAGAGGACCAGGGCCCACTGGGCACTTGGGGAAAGTGAGTCCCCGAGAGGTACCAGGTGGGTCTGAGCAGCCACTGAGCTGCTGCACCCCAGGCCCCCGACCCTGTGCAGGTGGGTCCAGCCCAGGAGCTCAAACCGCCTCCTGCTGCCCCAGCGCCTCTGTGGGGCCCCACTCTCAGGCGCTGGCTGAGGCCAGGGAGCCGAGCCCCTACGTGGCTTTGCCTCGGTCCACATCCCAGGTCACTCATTCAGTCAACAAACCCACACCAGCCTGGGCACTGGCCTGAGCCGGGCCAGGCTGCGGGCGGTGTGGAGCTCGCCCTCCAGGGTCCCACCCTGAGGTGCCAAGCAGGTGGGCGCCCCAGGGAAGAGATGGATGGACACCGCCTGGGATGTGATCTGAAATTCATTACAGGGTGAGATCAGCTCCTTAAACGGGGATTTGGAAACATTAGGGCTTCATTATGTACACAACGGCAGCGCCTCATTCATCATGCAAAAATCACTCCCGTTATTAAAAATCCCTGTGGCAGCTGCTGGAGGGGCTGGGCGGGTCCTCCCGTGGGGGCGGGGCCGGGTCCACAGGCGGGTCCTGGGGGGGGGCTGAGCCTCCTTAGCCTCCTACACAGGGGCTGAGGTTACAGGCTTCATCTGTGGAGACACTGGTGTACCCCTGGCACCGCGGGGAGAGGCTGGGCCCTGGCTGTGTCCCCAGCGAGCCCATGCACATGTGTGAGCGCATCACCCACTGGGTCGGGCAGGGGGCTCGGGGCCTTACTGGGGCTTGTATGTCACCCTCCAGCTCAGGGACCCCCGGCTCCCAGCACTGGGCTGCGCGCGCTCGAGCCACGGTCTGGGACAGACTCTGGGGTCAAAGGCCTCCGCTCACCTGGAAATGCCCTTCGCTCTGCGCCATGCGCCCCACCCTGAGACTCCAGGCTCTGCCGCCCCCACCCCCTGCCTGGTTACCACACCCCGTAGGCCCCAGAC